AGGACAAACACGCACATGTTGAGCAGGTGCCACTCCGCTGACAGTTTCCTCCCTCTCGCTCCCTGGTGCAACGCACCTGATTGGATAAGTGAGAGAGGGCCAGAATTAAGAGCCCCGCCACCGTTTGATTTGAGCCACAGGTGCGCCTACTCAACCAGCAGGTCAACGAGCTTCCGGGAATTGGTTGAGGAGTAGCTCCTGCGGTTGAAGCCAAACTTTTTTGACATTTCTGGCTTTGACACCTGTGCACAATCTTTCGGAAATCATATGCTGATTCAATTACGAGTCGTCACACGTGTATAAAAGGGTTTGCTTCACTTGTGAAAAGAGCTGGACGCCTCTTCGACAGCTTGGTGGCCTGAAAGACACGGTAACGCAAGCTCTTGACTTTTAAATATTCAAGCTTCCAAGTGCCTGGCTCAGCACCCCGATATTTGGTCGACATGTCAAAGACCTGCCATAGCCTCGTGAAGCCAGGGCCCAAAACTCCACAGGATGGCAGCCATTTTATGGGTCGTTCTGTCGACGTGAGCCTGTGGAGACAGAAATTACAATCGACACATTTGGGATTTAGTCTGTCGTGCGGCGGTTTCTTAAAACGTGGCAGTTCTACCGTGTTGCAGTCAATTCGGCCATTCTGTAGCAGATGCAAAGCCTGTGGAAAGAAAAAGAGACAAATTAGATGGGCTTGCGCCAAACAGTTCAGGACTTACATTCCACGTTCAAACGCACAGCGAGTGGCCCGTGTTCGTCTATTTGAAGATTTGCACCTGTGAACAGAAATGACACAATTAACACGCACGCATGCACATTAGTTCGGTTTAATTGTGAATTCGGAAATTTTGACTACTTACCCTCTCGGCGAACGTCGCTTTTGTCCTAGAAGGTTGGGAGAAAAAAAAAAGGTTTTGTTGCAAAGTAAGGTCGCAGGTGACGCTGATTGCTCACGCTCGAGCAAACATTTTGCTTAGCATGTTAGCCAGGTGCGTGCACGTCTAAAGTGCTGCTTTTCATTCAAAGTGGGACCAAAGCGGTGTGTTTTAAAAGGCTATTAAAGAGTAAAAAAAGTCACCTTGTTGGAGTTTACCTGGGCTTCTGGAGGGGCGTGCAGAGCAGGAGCAGCGTGAGGACGAGCGGAGGCTGTCGAAGGTGAGAAAGAATGAGTGCCCCGATGGCCCGGTTTAAATAGGCTTCCGTCGATTACGTCACTTCCGGAAAGAAAAAAAAACTTAATTTGAAACAGGAAGTGCGAGTGAAGATCTTGTGTGGAAAAAATCTGAGCGAAATGATGAAGGGTTTACCTCAGGACACAAACCGGGCTCGAACCTGAGTTCACCGGTGGAAAATCCCTGTCGCATTCCACTGGACTGTCCTTCCACAGTGACGTCGGCTACTACTACCTCTATCTATTGTCGTTCCATAGTCCCGTTGCATCAGGTCTATAAATATAAACACCCGAAAAGTTTGATCAGTGATTTTGCGTGGTCGAATGGATAACGACAATACTTGATACCCGGGAAGGCCGGGTTCGATTCTTGCTTAATTTATAAATAGAGCACATGGTGGGTCTCGAACTCGGTTCGCCTGACCACTACTCGATGTCTTTTACCATTAGGCCATTCTGGCGCGAAAATTTCGAAATTTTTACATGTAATTATAGGGCGTCCGTCTTAAGATGTGGAGACATTCAAAAAAGGAACGTGTTTGGTGAGACGCTTGGCATCTCTCGTGGCGTGTTCGCTTCTGCTTCAAACTTCTCACTTCACCCCTGAACGAGGTGACGGAAACACTTGTTCGACTCTTGCTAAATTTATAAACGGAGAGCAGATGGAGGTTCGAACTCATTCCGCCTGCCTACCCAGCGATGTCTTTTACCATCAGGCCATCCCGGGAGGAACATTTCGCAATTTTTAAATGTAGTCGAAGGCGGCCGACCACACGAGTCGAAGGCAAAAAAAAACCATAATTGGTGAGACGGTTGGCGTCTCGTGGAGTGGTCACTGATGGGACGAGCTTCGCCTTTGGGCGACGTGACGGCACTCCAACCTCACCCATCACCCCTCGACCACGCCAGTATTTCCGACCGCTGCCTGCCTTCAGAACGCCATCCTGAGATCAGGAGAGAGTTTGCAAAGCCAACTCCGTTTTCGATTAAAGACGAGTTGCACAAAGAGATCGTGTCGTTTTGTCATTTTGCTTTCTTGGCGATCGTGAATAAAGTGCAAATAAAACACCCATACGCACACTTCCAAACGTGCAAACCAACTTTATTCATTGTTTCAAGATGCTTTGTAGATCAGGGCAACTCCGCTGGAAAAGTTGAGACGCAAGTCTCGTCTGGATGCTTGCGGGGTGCTCTCTGCTGGTCCCAACGGGGCCGGGGGCTGAAGAACCTG